GCCTAGAACTACTAGAACAAACCAGAAATAAGGCTTGAAGAAGATGTCATACACCGAAATGTCGCGAAAGTTTCAAAGGAACTCTTTTTCTGTTTCCCTGCTTTTTGGAACTTTTGAATTTTTTGGAATTTTTGAATTTTGTGAACTTTTGAAATTCTTTTGAAATAAAATTTTGGTGCCTCTTGTTTTATACAATATTTAGGTGCTGATGAGGCTCCGGGACAGCACAATATTGAGAAACCAGAAATAGTTCACTTTTTTCGAAACCGCTCAAAAACGCTCCATGACCGGAGGTTCCCCTGTAGTTGGACTTTCACGATCACTTTTTCAGACACATAAGAACAAAAGTAAGCTGTACTGTAGTGGAACTCACACCAATGCCAAAATTATGAATAAATACCAATAAAAGCAAAATAGGTACTGAATGTATCAGATCACATACCTCGCTCTGCGCTCATTGCTGGCCCTTTCGTTCCATTTTGAGCAATTTTTCATCAGTTCAATGTATGCCACTTCGCTGATCATATTCTAAAAATTATGGTTAAAGTGAAGCTGTGAGAACATAACACCGTATGAAAACAAAGAAAAAACTATTGAAAAATCGTACCCCTGAGCAGATGAAGCGCCTTGCGCTACAGCCGACGCCAGCGCACTGCGATGCCGATCAATAGGCAATGCTGGAGCGTCACATCACAGCACGGTGAGGCGCGCTGTTCAGAAACATCTGGCACAATTAGCGGATCGGTGACCCACTAGAGTTGCCAGTACCTCTTTACATATGAGATAACCGAAGTGGAGGGAGATTGGGTGTTTTTGAAGTCATGGATGCTAGTCGTCGCGCGCTGGGTCCGCTTGTTTGCGCCCTCTCAACAAAACAGGGTTACATTCGCAAAATGAAAAATCCGTGAGCAAGGGAGACAGGCAAATCGGGGGTGGCGTAGCAATGTAGATCAACCTGCACAAAAAATCAGAGTGTGCGAGATTGCAGTATTTCGATGAGGGCGCAGACAAGCAGAGCAGCACGCCGGCGTCTGTCACCCAAACCAGGCGCATCGGCGAATTAGAAGCACAACGCGGGCGCGGCGCACACCATGGCAGGGATTGTTAGGGCAAAGCGCTTTAAATTCGAGTTATCAGTAACAAAAGACTGTTTCAGAAGGATTCCGATGTTTCTGGAGTGAATGAAACGAAAGAAATTTCAGTAGTATCAAGTAAGGACTTAAAAAATTTAAAAAGAAGTTTTTGGGCGAACGGATTTCCACAAATCAATTTTCAAAAGCACATCGCAGTTTTCTAACACACTCAAAGTTTCACATGAAATTGGTTTTGAAGGAAGTTACGACCATTGAAACCTAAAAAACCCGCGTTTTCACGAAAATGGCTTGATGAGTGCCCTCAAAAAAGTCCCAACGGGACTAATTTTTGAATCGGTAACTTTTGAGTAAGTTTTGGAACTTTTTAGAAAGCTTGAATCCTGTAGTTTGTCATACTGTGTTCAGCTTCCCAAATAATGAGTTTGAACAAAGTTATGATCGTTTGAAGGTTGAAAAGTCGCGGTTCCAGAAAAATAGTTCCGCAAACCCCCCCCAAAAAAGTCCCAACGGGACTAATTTTTGAATTGCTGATTTTTCAAAAAGTTTGGGTACTTTTTAGAAAGCTTGAATCCTGTAGTTTGTTATACCGGTTCAGCTTCCCAAATGAATGACTTTGAAGGAAGTTATGATCGTTTGAAGGTAAAAAGTCGCATTTGCACGGAAAAAAGTACCAACGTGCTAATTTTTTATTAAATAAACTTTCAAGGGATATTTAGCGACTTCTAAAGAGAACATGATTCAAAATTTTTTAATCTTCTTACATTGTCGCACAACTCGAATTTGAAGGAAGTTATGACCCTCGAAAGAGGCAGGTGCAAATCTTCACTGAAATTTCATTTGATTGGGAGAGGGGGGTAGAGGAAACGGAAACTACTCCCGTGACTCTTAAGTTTCTGCCCCGTCCATATATAAGCAATGTTCCCACACACAAGGGGGGGGGGCTTGAAAAATGGGAGGGGTCGTAAAAATTTCTGAAAAGTACCAACGGTAAGGTTGACACTGCCCCCAACGCCCTTAGCGCCGTGGGTTGACAGCTTCGAGTCGTTTTACCACTCATTGTGTGGCAAAATTTGAAGTGATGGTCACCCTAATGTGAGGCTTACCAATCCCAAGGTAGTTCCCACATCCCCCCCCCCCGCTTTAGACCTCTACGCATCTCTCCTTGAGAGGGCGCAGACAAGCACCAAAGAGCCCCCTGTACTGCAAGGTTCTCGATGCTTACAGAATTTGATGTGAAGGTACGCGAAGAAAGTAACACACCAGGGTGCTAACTTAGTTGGGGGGGGGGCACGCGGCGGCGCGGCAGTCTGCTCACCTGGGCCCTCTCGAGCGAGACAGTGTAAACTCGAACATTCCAGCTTTTCACGCATGTCAAGTGACTGCCCCCACCCCCCAACCCCCTAGGCTGGCTACACTCCCCCCTGGCCCACGGATTTCCGAACATGCCAGACGAGCAGACTGCCGCGCCGCCGCGTGCCCCCCCCCCCAACTAAGTTAGCACCAAATCAGGGAGAGCCAATGTACGAAAGTTATTAGCAAATAAAAGAGACGCTGCTCCGCTTATAAAGTTGTACACTAAATTTTGTCAAGAGTTCACGGTTTAGAGTAACCAGTTTCGCCGTTGTGATGGCGAAAGAACTCGCGAAGCCCTATCTTCAAATTAGTTGGGGGGGAGGGGGCACGCGGCGGCGCGGCGCTCTGTTCGCCTCTCCTGCAAGGCTTAGTCCTCGATGGCGCCTATTTCGAAACTGTCATGTGATGGCGAAATAGTAACTGCGGCTGCTATCTAAGTGGATGGGCACGTCCAGCTTTTCACGCATGTCAAGTGGCTGCCCTCACCCCCACCCCCTAGATTGGCTACACTCCCCCTGGCTCACGAATTCCCCGATTCTGGTGACAGTACAGCAGCGGGCAACAGTCCTACTGACATACTTTTCTGTTCAAAAAATGCGGCGACATTACTTGTATAGCACCGTAACTGCCCCTGGGACTAAGCCTTTTGAGGAGGAGACGAACAGAGCGCCGCGCCGCCGCGTCCCCCCCAACTAAAGAATAGCACGCGTAACTGCTCCTAGGATAAACCTTGGAGGAGCAGATGAACAGAGTCGCGCTGCCGCATGGTTCCCACCAACCCAACCCACTTATTGCCAGCACCCTCAAGTCTTATATTCGCCTTGTTCCTTCTGAAGATTTACCCAACTTGCAATGAATTCAATTGCAACGAATTCTCCTCCAGAAATTGCTCACAATGCATCCAAACGTAGGCCGATTCAGCAGTTCATCGCATAAAAAAAAAACTTGTTTTTGAAGTTTTACCCCCTGAGGCGCCGGCGTCTTCGTCCAAGCCAACCATTTCGGGTCGACATAGCTTCGATGTAGAAGAGCAAAAGGCTACTATGATGGATGTACCTGAAAATCCGTCCTTAATCAGAATCTGTGTAACAGACAACTCACTTTTATACTCCTAACTTAATAATTAGCGTAATTTAACAGTAATGTAATTCTAATTAATCGAACGCATACAATGCGCTAATGCGAACGCAGCCGTGAGAAACGGCTGCGTCGTAAGCGTCGCGTTTTTGCCACTGGAGCCGCGTTTTAAATCTTTCTCACTCACGAATCGACCACTGCGCACCATGGTGATCCATTTGTAATAATCGTCACAATAACTTCTCGTGTATTCTTCTTGCTATTTTCAATAGAATCACCAGCTCAGAATGAAACTTTTATTGAGAATGTCGCTCTGAAGGCTGCAAATGTACAGGTGCGAGTTGAGCAAAATTAGTGTATACAAGAAGTAAATGAACCTTGAAAGCGGAGTTTCTCTTCTCGTTTTCTTGATGTTTACGAAGAACTAAAGACAACTGCGCCTTAATTGCAAGGAACTGAGCCTCGCTAGATAACACAAAGGACTGTTCTTTGGCTATCGGCCTCCTGGTAATCGCTTTTTTGGAGAGCAGAAAAATCTTGAACTAACTTCGACCACTGAGCGCTTGTTGGGATCCGCAGAAAACAGGGTTTTTTCAAGCCATGTTTTTCATTTTTCATCATATTTACCATAACTCCTGATTCGCCTTCAACTAAACTAGGTATTTCAACAAATTTTGCACAAAGTTTGTCCCTTCTCGCCTGCAAGCGCCAGCTAATCATACTTGCTAAAGGGTATGTTACCTTTATTCGTTTCAGGCGGGAGATAGAGGAAGGGACCAAGCACCGAAACCATTACAGAGGGTGCTGGGACAGCACTGCTTGAGATCTGTCAACGACTATCTTGATAAAAATGCATCAAAATTTCCCGCAGGAACAATTGTCAGAGTTGTTCATGCATGCGCGGCTATGCGCCCCGCGATAATTCGTGTGCGCATCGTCCTTCTCGGAGCCCCCGGCGCTCTCCTTACGCATGCCCCGCCCCCCTCTGGCTGTATATAAGGGGCGCGCTCAGTGCATTGCTGTTCCTTCTGATACACCGTCTGACCGCCTGTATCAGAAGACGCAATACAAGCGGAAAGGGGTGGGATAATCCCAGCAGGATTGTGGTTGGCGTGTCGCGTGTTTTGTAAGTGTTGGGTGTTCGTGTACCTTCTTCGAGGAGATGTCTAGGAGTCAACTTACTTCCGTGATAGTCGTTTTCTCATGGCCTTTTTTTAATTAACGGCTGGTTTTGTCGGTGGAGAGTTGTTAAAAAGGCTTATTTCCTTGAATTTCGTACACAATGAGCTATTGACCCTTTGGCGACAACGGCACCCACTGCTGGGTACAAATCGGTCCGGCACATGGGACCATGGCACCCAGTAGTGGGGACCACCTTACCATTTTGTTCTTTGTATTTAAAACATTTCCAACATCTCTATACTTATCATCAAGCTTCATAATATTTGTGTTGAGCAGGGTTCACAGAAATGTCCCATAAGAGCCAATTTATGGAGGAGCCAATTTTCAGCATAAGGCGTTCAGCCCGCCAGCGTGTTACCAGGGGTTTTTTCATGGAAAGGCCGAAAGCAAACACTAATGAATACTTCTTCGCCTTTTTACGGTCTTAGGGGTCTTTTTACGGACACAGGGACGGATTTGAACTGTATGAAGGATTTCACTGTGCAGTAAACTTAAGGACTTTTTAGGTTCCATCCGTTGATATCCGATATCTCCTTCCAAGCTTTAAATTTTCTTGCCAGCAATATTAATGTAAAATTTTGAGACTGCAGCTATATTTAGTGCATTGCTAAATAGTCAAAATTTTGATAGAAAAACTGCTTTTAGAGACAATTTTGCCCAATGCTGAGCGAGGGTCGGGCGCGCCAAAAACGGGCGTGGTCCCACGAACCCATTGCGTTCAAATCCGCATTGTTGTAAAAGGTTAAATTCAATCAGAAGAAAAAAATAAACTTAATAAATGTCACTACCAGTGATCACTGGAGCCAAAAGCTATGTTAG